GGCAGTTATTCATTTCCCCCCAGTATCAGTTAGTGTCAGATTTCCCACCGCACTATCACACTCCCATTATAAGTCACTGATCACCGTCATTAATAGTAAAAAATAAATAAATATAAATTACACACATTCCAGTATATACTGTATACCATAGTTTGTAGGCGCTATAATTTTCACGCAAAATAATCAATATACACTTATTGGGATTTTTTTTATCAAAGACATGTAGCAACATTTTGTCTAAAATTTATGAAGACATTTGATTTTTTTTTATTATTGGCAATGTTTTTTAGCATAAAATAAAAATATTGTTTTTTGCTTCCAAAATTTTGGGGATTTTTTTGTTTATATTGCAGAAAAATAAAAAACTCAATGGTGATCAAATACCACCAAAAGAACACTCTATTTGTCTTTTAAAAATGACATAAATTTCATTTGGGTACAGCATTGCATGACTGCGCAATTACCAGTTAATGTAGCATAGTGCTAAATAGTAAAAAATGGCCTGGTAAAGAAGGGGGTAAAACCTTCCTGAGCTCAAGTGGTTAATCATGTTTTGCATAGCATGGGAAATGGTTTTAACCACTTCCTGACCGCCCTATAGGAGAAATACTGCTGCAGGGCGCACGGGTGCGCAAAATCACATATATATATATATGTGATTTCGCATTTCTGGGTAGGGGGTGCGTGCGGGGCATGCGCACGCACTACTCGCACTGCCCGGTGCACAGTGATTTCCGAGGATCTCGGACGGGGAGGAGAACTGTTTGTAAACAAAACAGTTTTCCTCCCTGTTGGCTCATGCACACTGCTTTGGATGCCATCCAAAGCATTGTGATTACAGTGAAGCACACAAACAAAGCACAGTGTAAAACAGCACACAGTTAACCCTTTGATCCCCTCATGTTAACCCCTTCCTGCCCAATGCCATTAGTACAGCGTCAGCAGAGCCATCCCGATCAGTGTGCTTACAGTGAAGCACACCCCCCTCCCCCTAGTAAAACACTCCCTGCACATAGCTAACCATTTTATCGCCCCTCACATTAACCCCTTCCTGCCCAGTGAAAATAGTACAGTGTCAGTGCTGTTTTTTTTAGCACTGACCACTGTATTGGTGTCACTGAGGATGTCAGTGACATCAAGTCAGTTGCCCCGAGTGTCAGAATGTAAGAAAGCCACGCAGTTCCGCTATAAGTCACTGATCGCCACCATTCCTAGTAAAAATATTTTTTAAAAAAAGCTCAGTATATATACTGCAACTTGTAAACGCTATAACTTTCACGTAAACCAATTAATTTACACATATTGGCATTTTTTTTTTTTAGCAAAGACATGTAGCAGAATACATTTTGGCTTAAATTTATGACAAAATTTGATTTTTTTAAAAAAATTTTACTGGACATGTTTAATAGCAAAAAGTCAAAAATATTGTTTATACACTCACGTTTGTGACTCTATAGCCACATGGACTGCTCCGATGTGATAGGAAAGTAGACATACACTGAAAACTGAGCATGTGCACTATCTGCCAACACTGCTCTGCAAAATCCCCAACTGCATTGGGGACATGGACAGAAGAGTAGATAGGATCTTTTGCAGAATACAGAAAACAAATTCCATGGTGAATGAGCGAGTATACAGCATTTATTGATAGTTTTTTATGATGTAGGTTTAAGGACACTTTGAAGGATATTTAAAAATAAGAATAGAAAATGTAATATTTACAAGAATGAACTATAATAACACTGTACCAGTCCTTAAATAGCTGTATTAGTTGTATTTTTTTCAAGGGAAAATACAGCTTTAGCAAGTAGAGAAAAATACTTTTGACCCAGTTAGCAATCTTGCATACTTGTAACTTCCTGTGAACTGAACTGAAATCTCAAATGATGTTATCAGCTTTCCCAGCTATCTTCTGTGAACGGAAAAAAAATCCCCGCTATGTATGGAGAGGATACTCCAAATCTGTGGAAGAGCCTAGGGTGACAAAACTGCTCCTCCATAGATACAGTAGGACAGTGAGCACTATCTCCCTAAGATGTAAAGTGTGTGCTGGTGGGGATATCAGGTTAAAAAAAAGGGAAAAGCCTGAACAAAAATGACTGGTAAACTGCAATGTAATCCATTGTTTTGTTTTTGTGCTTAGGTAACCCTTATATTCTTCATTGTATTTACGGAACAGGAAAAAACAGCTGTATCAGAAGAGCATATTTGTTTAACAGTTCAGAAAATAATTTTTTAATTGAAGTTATATGAAATCCACTCACTGAAACAAAAGTGTTGAAAAATATTATATTATAGTATGATCATTTAAGCTGTCTGTGTATTGAGACAGCATGGGGAGTTAATGTGGCAGACATGGTAGGCTATTTGATAAAGAAATGCTTATATTACTGGTAGTAGATATGTGAAAATAATAGCTACTTTACTTGCCTTTTTCTAGTGGCTGAACTGAAGAAAATCAAATAATCCAGATCATACTTCTGTTTACTACAATCTCCAAAGGCCTTCTTGCAACACAAGAGTTTTATGTGTACATTCAGCCCCATATTAGCCATTGCAGACTGTAAGGCTTTATCCCAAATTCAACAATGATAATTAATTTAGTATGGCAGCTGGCAACTAAAGGAAATTTTGTTATAAAATGATAAACTGAAACTGACATCTAAATCAAGCAGAACATAACATTGATCATAAAACCAAACCTGTAGCAAAAATGTATTAATAAAACTTTCATAAGGCAAAGGAAGGTTGTAAATACTCGCCTTCCTTAGTGCCTGTGCTGCCAAATAGCACTCTAATGCTGCAAATAGACAAATGGGATTAGTTTTGTTAGGAATACGATACAATATATCCAAATTTCTGAATCACAATGGTAATGAATTTCAACAAATCTGAAATAAAATATCCCAATTTAAAAAATGGAATTTGAAAATAATTTCTAATTTGAAAATGAATTTGAAATGAAAATATATTGCAATACATGCAGCAAGGTATAGGGGGGAAATAGGATTATGATTCCTACGTAGGCTGCTTTAACAAATAGAATAGAAAATAATTGGATAGAATAAAACAGAATAGAGTAGAATAGATTAGAATATATTAGAATAAAATAGAAAAAATATAGCCATCTTCCGAAATTTTAATTTCTAATTTCAAAATTTGAATTTGGAATTGATTTCAAAATAGCGAATCTGAATATATACAAAATTAATTCTGAAAACAAATCATTCTAACATAGCAAATGCGACAAAAAGAAATTATTAATTTAATGAACAAATCCAAAACTAAACAAAACAAATCCTACACAGCTGCAAATTGTGCTCTGAAATTCACTAGGAAACCAACACCTTTGCACATGTTGATCTCTTGGGAACGCATGCCACTACTATATCTTACAATGATATGGGCGCAGGAGAAGTAACCAATGAAAGCTGCAGGGGACCGAGGAGATAAACACTTGGTGTTGGTTTTCCACCCCAAGGACAAAGCTAAGGACACCAGGGAATGTGAACATTTACACACATATTTTACAGGTAACAAATATTTTATTTTTTACAACAGTCACTTACTGTATATATGTGTTTAAAAGTGTGAGTGTTGCTATAGATATGTGTTAGGACCAGTTTACAATGGCACCTTGATGCTGACGTGTTGTCAGTTTATTTACATGCTAAGCAGTGCAACTGTTTTTGTTTATTTATAATATTTCTGTGTCCTCTTTAAATGAAAGGTTCTGAATGTCGTTACTACCTTTACAAGGGATCAGGAGAGACTGTCCATGCCCTAGGAACTGACCTGTCAAGGATCACCTATGGGCTGCAATCAAAAAAGAAAATATACCTTGGTCTAGACATTACAGATATTTGGGAAATGTCACTCATGATCTTTATATAGCATCAGTGCAGTCATTGAATTAGAATGCTATTACAAATCTGGAATGAACAAATACTTGAGTCATTCAAAAGCTATTACTGCTATGCACTTTTTTCAATGACTTTTCAAACCGATAACTGGGGCTTCTGTTGTATGATTAAAGGACTTAAGGACTAGTGTAATCAGCATTCCACAATCTTACAGACAGTGTTTAACACAGCAGGGCCCTAAACACTGCTCTGGAATGTTTTAAATTGTGGATAACATTTTTTTTCTTGTTAAGAATTGCCGGTGCTTTTTAATTTTTGCATATAATAAATTTGAATTTTATATTAGTGTGGACTGAGTTGAGTTTTTAATATTGTGAGCTAATCTGAACATAATTTACTGGGGCATAAAGTAGAAGAATTGGATTGAATAATGGATTAATGAATTTAAACTGCACTCCAGCCAAAAATAACAAGATTATAATTATTATATTATTATACAGTATTTATAAAGCGCCAATAGTTCGCTCAGCGCTGTACATTACAAAGGGAGACAGAACATGTGACAGAACAATACCAATACAATGCAAAAATGAGGGGATTGAGGGCCCTGCTCTTTCGAGCTATAAAAATGAATAGCCCAATAAAAGATAAAATACCAACAAAAGCAATAGCTTTTGTTGCACTATTTACCTTCAACCCAGAGCTTTACACCACAGTACTTTTTTTCTCTGCTAGTAAATGTTTTCAGTCTGCTGGCCAGCATTATCCAACCCACTTCCGGTGAGCCCAGGTCACCCTGTATCTATCCCCATTATGTCCCCATCATGTTACAGTGAAGTAGAAGCAGAACAATAATTAACTAATTTCTCTTACTCCTCACTCTGGGTCCCCTTATTTTATCTTATCTTATCTTATCATATCTTATCTTATCTTAAGTGTGCTTCTTGTCAGCAAATTAACTGATTGCACAGAATCCCATGACAATGGAAATCAAGCATCCAAATCATGCAAACAAAAGAGCTGGAATTAACCCTTGAGGTCTAATGTGAAATAAAATGTGGTGTCTCAACTACAAAATCAATACCATATCTGAGCATGCAACCTGACAGGCCAGGAAAGGGAGGGGGGGTGAGCATGCAGATTCCTGGTCATGTGATCAGCTGTGTCCAATCATAGCTGATCACATGTAAACAGGGAAATGCCGGTTATTGGCATTTCTCTCCCCACGAGCTGTCACGCTGACAGCTCGTGAGGAGAGAGGAGAGCCGGTAATCGGCATTCCTCGGAGGGGACATGTACACTGATCATCAGGGCACTGATGATCAGTGTGCCCTGATGATCTGTGTAACCCCAGCAGAGCCACCTGTCAGTGTCCATCAGTGCCAGCTCTCAGTGCTCATTCATGCCATCTGCCAGTGGCCATCAGTGCCACATCAATGCCACATATCAGTGCCCATCTGAGCTGCCTTTCAGTGTCACCCATCAGTGCCAGTCAGTGCCACCTATCAGTGCCGCCTATCAGTGCCGTCAGTGCTGCCTATCAGTGCCGCCTAACAGTGCCAGTCAGTGCCACCTAACAGTGCCAGTCAGTGCAGCCTATCATTGCCAGTCAGTGCCACCTATCAGTGCTGCCAATCAGTGCCAGTCAGTGCCAGTCAGTGCCGCCTATCAGTGTGCATCAGTGCAGCCTATCAGTGCCCATCAGTGCTGCCTATCAGTGCCGCCTAACAGTGCCAGTCAGTGCCACCTAACAGTGCCAGTCAGTGCAGCCTATCATTGCCAGTCATTGCCGCCTATCAGTGCCATATATGCGTGCTGCTTTTCAGTGCCCATCAGTGATGCCTGTCAATGCCCATCAGTGCCACCTACCAGTGCCTCCTCATCAGTGCCCATCAGTGCCACCTATATGTGTCCATCAGTGCAGCCTATCAGTGCCCATCAGTGCAGCCTCATTAGCGCACATCAGTAAAGGAGAATAATCACTTATTTACAAAAGTTTATAACAAAAACTAAGAAAAAACTTTTTTTTTCAAAATTTTCTGTGGTTTTTGGTTTGTTTAAGAAAAAATTAAAAACCCAGAGGTGATTAAATACCACCAAAATAAAGCTCTATCTGTCACAAAAAAATGATAAAAACTTCATATGGGTACAGTGTTGCATGACCGCGCAATTGTCATTCAAAGTGCAACAGCGCTGAAAGCTGGAAATTGGCCTGGGCAGGAAGGGGGTATAAGTGCCCTGTAGGCTAATGGTTAAACATCTCCTCCAGTAAAAAAAAAAATTTAAAAATAAAATTTTGTCAAAAATGTAGGCCAAAATGTATTCTGCTGCATGTCTTTGCTAAAACAAATCACAATATGTGTAAATTAATTGGTTTACGTGAAAGTTATAGTGTTTACAAATGGCGGTATAGATAATGGGATTTTTTTTTCTACTAGTAATGGAGGCTAGCAGTGACTTTTAGCAGGACTGCGGGACTGTGGCGGACATTCTGACACTAGGGGGGAGCTAACTTGGTGTCACTGACATCTCCAGTGATGCCAATACAGTGATCAGTGCTAAAAAAAATCACTGATACTGTACTAATGGCACGGGGCAGGAAGGGGTTAATGCGAGGGGCGATCAAATGGTTAACTGTGTGCTGGGAGTGTTTTACTAGGGGGCGGGGGGGTGTTCTTCACTGTAAGCACTGTGCACAGTTCTTCACTGGCTGTACTGTGCACAGCCCTCCCAAGCAGTGTGCTCGAGCTGACAGGGATGAAGATTGTTTGTAAACAAAACAATCTTTCTCCCTATCAGAGATGCTCGGTAATCACCAGCGCCGGCAGGTAATTACCGGCTGGGACCCGGAGATTGACATCCGCGGCCGCCGCCCCTACCCAGAATGCAAAATCATATATATACAGTGGGGCAAAAAAGTATTTAGTCAGCCACCAATTGTGCAAGTTCTCCCACTTAAAAAAGATGAGAGAGGCCTGTAATTGGCATCAAAGGTAAACCTCAACTATAAGAGACAAAATGAGCAAAAAAATCCAGACAATCACATTGGCTGATTTGAAAAGAAGTTATTTGCAAATTATGGTGGAAAATAAGTATTTGGTCAATATCAAAAGTTCATCTCAATACTTTGTTATATATCCTTTGTTGGCAATGACAGAGGTCAAACATTTCCTGTAAGTCTTCACAAGGTTGGCACACACTGTTGCTGGTATGTTGGCCCATTCCTCCATGCAGATCTCCTCTAGAGCAGTGATGTTTTGGGGCTGTCGCTGGGCAACACGGACTTTCAACTCCCTCCAAAGGTTTTCTATGGGGTTGAGATCTGGAGACTGGCTAGGCCACTCCAGGACCTTGAAATGCTTTTTACGGAGCCACTCCTTTGTTGCCCGAGCGGTATGTTTGGGATCATTGTCATGTTGGAAGAGCCAGCCACGTTTCATCTTCAATGCCCTTGCTGATGGAAGGAGGTTTGCATTCAAAATCTCACGATCCATGGCCCCATTCATTCTGTCCTGTACATGGATCAGTCGTCCTGGTCCCTTTGCGGAAAAACAGCCCCAAAGCATGATGTTGCCACCCCCATGCTTCACAGTAGGTATGGTGTTCTTTGGATGCAACTCAGCATTCTCTCTCCTCCGAACATGACGAGTTTGTGTTTCTACCAAACAGTTCTATTTTGGTTTCATCTGACCATATGACATTCTCCCAATCCTCTTCTGGATCATCCAAATGCTCTCTAGCAAACTTCAGACGGGCCCGGACAGGTACTGGCTTAAGCAGGGGGACACGTCTGGCACTGCAGGATCTGAGTCCCTGGTGGCGTAGTGTGTTACTGATTGTAGCCTTTGTTTACGTTGGTCCCAGCTCTCTGCAGGTCATTCACTAGGTCTCTCCCGTGTGGTCCTGGGATTTCTGCTCACCGTTCTTGTGATCATTTTGACCCCACGAGGTGAGATCTTGCGTGGAGCCCCAGATCGAGGGAGATTATCAGTGGTCTTGTATGTCTTCCAAATTATTGCTCCCACAGTTGATTTGTTTCACACCAAGCTGCTTGCCTATTGCAGATTCAGTCTTCCCAGCCTGGTGCAGGTCTGCAATTTTGTTTCTGGTGTCTTTTCGACAGCTCTTTGGTCTTCACCATAGTAGAGTTTGGAGTGTGACTGTTTGAGGTTGTGGACAGGTGTCTTTTATACTGATAACAAGTTCAAACAGGTGCCATTGATACAGGTAATGAGTGCAGGACAGAGGAGCCTCTTAAAGAAGAAGGTACAGGTCTGTGAGAGCCAGAAATCTTGCATGTTTGTAGGTGACCAAATACTTATTTTCCACCATAATTTGCAAATAATTTCTTTCCAAATCAGCCAATGTGATTGTCCGGATTTGTTTTCTCATTTTGTCTCTCATAGTTGAGGTCTACCTATGATGCCAATTACAGGCCTCTCTCATCTTTTTAAGTGGGAGAACTTGTACAATTGGTGGCTGACAAATACCTTTTTGCCCCTGCTGCAGCCAACACAACTCATCCATTGCTTGCCTCTCACTGAATGACAGTGCTGCTGCCCCCGCTAAGTAAACAAAGGGGTGGGGTTACCCAGGGACATCACCGGGTGGCCCTGCTCCTTGTGATATCATTGGTCATTAGTCAATTATATCATATGGTGAATGTCCCCCAAATTTACATGGGGGGCAGGATCTGGGGGACCCTGTGTTAATTCAACATGGGGACAAGGTGGTTTGGCCAATGTTGAGGACTTGTGGCCTAGTATGGTGCAGGAGGTGAGACACATGCTCATTCCCCCCCCCCCCCCTTCCTGGCCTGCCAGACTGCATGCTCTGACAAGGGTCTGGTATGAATTTGGGGGGGAGCTCCAAACCATTTTTTTTGTTTCTTTGGCGTAGGTTTCCCTTAAAATCCATACCAGACTGGGGGGCTTGGTATAGATTGGCTATTTTGTTTACATTCTGCAATCAGTGCAGACAGTAGGCATGAGTCACAGTTAGGATGCTGGTGGTGCTGACTCCCTAACAACCAGTGACTCCTCCCTGCTGCTGACAGCAAGAAAGAGTCACAGGAGTAAACAAGTACAACATTGCAAAAATTAAAAAATACATTGGTACTTCCATTGCACTTCAAAATCAACATGGAAATGAGATTTGAAAATTAGATCAAAATTGCATCTTACTAGTGTGAACCAGGCCTTTATGATGTATTGATGATTACAGAGCTGTATTAATGTGTGTCTTCTATATCTGCCTATGGTCTAAGTTTAAAGTGATTGTACAGGAAAAAAAAATAAACATCTCAATACTTACCTGCTCTGTGCAAGGTAATTGCACAGAGTGGCCCCGAACCTCCTCTTCTTGGGAGCTAGCACTCCTGGCTCCTCATCTTTCTCCAGTGCCTCCATGGGAAGCCTCCCATGGAAGTCCAGTGCCTCCCATGGGGGAGCTTGTGTGTGCTCACTCCCTGCTGCATCTGTTGACAATGGTTCCCAGTCCCCAGTAAAGCCATTGTGATCAGGAAGTGATGGGAGAGAAGAGCTGCAGACATGCGCAGCGCTGGATCGAATGAGGGCTCAGGTAAGTTAACCACTTGCCGCCCAGCCACCGCATATAAACGGTGGCAGGGCGGCGCTCGTAGGCAAAAGCACGTTTTAAAACGGCTGCCTTCAAAACAGGTAGGGGGCGCATGCGAGGCGCGCGCGCCCGCCCTACCTGTCCCGCGGGTGTCAGCAGCGGGTGTCAGCCGACGGGTCATGGCCGTTTTTTACCGGCAGTTTTTCCCGCAATTAACGGTGATCGCTAACACAGAGCAGGGCTGCATTGTTTACACACAGCCCTGTTCTGTGTCAGTTCTCTGACAGCTTGTGAGAAGCTGCAGAGTTTTCTCTCCCTTGATCAGCTCCCCCCTCCCTCCCCCCCGTCCAGTACACACCCCCGCCCCCTAGTAAAACACTCCCCTTACACTGCAAATTCTAAAAATGTTAACCCCTTCCTCCCCAGTGACATTAGTACAGTTTCAGTGTTTTTTTTTTCACTGATCACTGTATTGGTGTCACTGGGGATGTCAGTGACCCCAAGTCAGTTCCCCCCCAGTGTCAAAATGTCCGCCGTTGTCCCGCAGTCCTGCCATAAGTCGCTGGTCGCCGCCATATGTCGCTGATTGCCGCCAAAAGTCGTTGATCGGCGCCATTATTAGTATAAATAAAAATTAAAAATTCCAGTATCTTTCCCGCCATTTGTAAACGCTATAACTTTCACGTAAACCAATTAATTTACACGTATTAGGATTTTTTTTAGCAAAGACATGTCGCAGAATGCATTTTGGCAGAAATTTATGACTAAATTTGATTTTTGCATTTTTTTTTTTTACTGGACATGTTTTATAGCAAAAAGTCCAAAATATTGTTTTTTTTGTCCTCAAAATTGTCAGCCTTTTTTTTTTTATAGCGCAAAAAATAAAAACCGCACAGGCGATCAAATACCACCGAAAGAAAGCTCAATTTGTGGTAAAAAAAATGATGTAAATTTTATTTATGTATCGTATTGCATGACCACGCAATTGTCCGTTAAACTAGCACAGCGCAGTATAGCAGAAAAATGGCGTAAATTGCAGTATTTATACCATAGTTTGTAGACGCTTCCACACAAAGCAATCAATGTGTTGTGTGTGTAACTTCCACACAAAGCAATCAATATACACTTATTGGAATTTTTTTTACCAAAAACATGGAGCAGAATACATTTTGGCCTAAATTTATAACCAACTTTGAGTTTACTATATAATTTTTATAGCTGAAAGTAAAAAAT